CCCCAAAACCCCAAAACCCCAAAACCCCAAAACCCCAAAACCCCAAAACCCCAAAACCCCAAAGTCAAGTTGGTGCTCAAAGGGGATAAAATCGGGAATTTATTCGTTTAATAACTTTTAAACACTCTAGGCTGCAGCACTTAGCAAAGAGCCAAATTCTTCCAAATTTGATAAAGATCTTTTAGGTAAATTAATTTAAAGACAATCTCTACAAAGAGGCAATCTTTGAGAAGATTTTTGTGATCCTTTCGAATAGGAACTAGACTTCTGCTAATTTATTTAGTGATAATCTTTTCCAGCACACTCCTAAGTCCCCTTTTGTTCTTGATGTCAAACGAATCAAGAGAAGACAAAAGCCTCAAAATGATATTTTTGAAGCAAATATTTTGCCTTGCAAGATTCTGGAAGGATTTCTTTGAAGACAATTTCCTGCTCTTTAGTTGATGAAGTAAGTTTTGACATTCATCAAGAGATAGGTATTCGGCTTCTTTTAACATTGAAATGATTCTTTTCACTTTTGGCTTAGGAAATGAGAGAACAATGAATTGGCAAAACATTTTGATTTTATCTTTCACAGGCTTTCCTGCGAGCATAGTTGGGACATAACCAACTGTGAAAGCTTCTGCATAAGATTCAAGGACTTCTTCAATATTCACAGATTTGAACTTTCATTTTGAGCCCACATGTTTGAGAATATAATCGGGAACCTTATTGGCACTTCTGAAAACACTAGCATTGAAAGAATCAGACCTTGGTTTATCACTTCTTCTCTGACCTTTAGATATTATGCGATCAAAAATCATTGACAAGATAGCATCTTTGCCTCTGTTATTAAAGAGTCTTGGTCTTCCTTGACGGTTTCTACTTTTCTCTTCCTCATAAATTCTTTGGTGGTAAGATGGATCTAGTCTTTCTAACAAGAAGGGGACTATATCAAACTTCTTAGAATCAATAGGGGCATGCTTAGAACATGATTTTATTATTAATTCATTAGAAGTTCACACACTAATAGTCTTATTCTTCATTTCTTTCTCCTTCTCTACACTCTGTTTTTGTTCTGATACTTTCACCTTAGAGTTGCATTCTACAATGTCAGAATGCTTCTGTTGGGGGTCTTCTTGTTGCTCTTGCCTAGTCAAATCTAACTTATCATGATCCTTTCCGAAAAGAATATCGCTGCTCTGGTAACCAAGGCAGTCATTGAAATCAAGCATTATTCCTTCTTCAGTTCAGCTGGACATCTTTGAAATAGAAAGAGGCTCATAATCTTGACTAGTGGACCTGGTCCACTGCAAATCAAGATCAATGGGTATGTCTTCAGGACCAACCAAGGCTCATGCTAAGGAGGCCTCACTGTCTTTGTTTAGCATAATAGGATGCATTTTAACAATATTAAGTATTATTATCGACAATATTTCTGAACATATATTCAATCAGGGGAAAAAATCGGGGTTTTGGGGTTTTGGGGTTTTGGGGTTTTGGGGTTTTGGGGTTTTGGGG